TGATTGTGTCTATTTAGAAAATGCTCGTCTTTATTTGAATAGACTAATAAACATGGAAGTGAGAAAAGTATTAACACCAATAGATATTCCTTCCCCTCTCTCTCCTTTTAACATTGAGTAGAACCCGTGGCTGAGGAAGATCACGACCATGTTCCAATATCGGACTGAGGTAGAAAAAAAAAGTTCAGGAAAATGCACCCGCCCCCGTGTTGCTTGATTAAAGGGACCGCTATTCTAAAGAGCATTATAAAAATTTTATCTTTAAAACGAGGCAGTCAAGGACTGGGTTAAATATTAGAGAAACGAGAGTAGGTGACATTGGAGGGTTTAATATTTCCGGTTGAGCTGGGGTAGGGTGATATGTGTAATTTTGAATAAATTTGAATATAAAATGGATGGTATTCTTGAATTTGCCTATCCACCTCCTTAGGAGAGAGAGAGAGAGAAGACCAAAATGGTGTCAACTTTGTCCGGAATTCTGAAATTTCCACTTAATATCTTTCACAAATTATGCATGAAATTCCAATGTTCTTCAAAACGCATGTTTTATTTTGTGAAAGAAAAAATGATATATTATATATGCTAAAATCGCCAGGCGTGAAACATTTGCAAAAATAAATAAATGGGTAAACTAGCTTAATTGTTCGTCTTCAAAGGCATTTCTGGAAGTATACCCATATATTAAATATTAAACATCATGAAAGATATAAAAAATGACAGAAAAATATTTCATATTTCAAAGGAAAATATGTCAGGAAAGTCATTTGTATATAAGTATCAATCTCATTTTCAGCTTAAATTTTCTATTCAACTTTTCGTTTATCCCAATATTTTGGACGCACTTTGTAGTAAATGAAATGGAAATACTAGAATATCAAATTAAAGAAAAAAATATATATGAAAAATGGTGAGCGCAAAGAATTTCGCTCACTTTAATTTTACTCAACAAGAAATGAGTTTTTTATTAAAGCACACCCAAAGACAGTTGTAATAAAAAAGAAATCTGCTCCAGCGTCGCGTTTAACTTTAGCAATAAAACATTACATTCGTCAATTCCTACTGATTTTATCCGACGTATATTGCCTATATATATCAACCTAATTTTACAGAAATAAAAATCGAATATATCAGCACAAAAGGTCGACCTTTTGATTTGTGATTTTATTACAGTAAGCAAATCGCTTAAATCTCACAATATCGCCAGTGTAATAAACTAGTCCATTGCATGCGTTTCTATTAGCTTCTTCGAGGTCCCATTTGACAAATATTGGATCCCAACCAGATTTTGAAAGAAAACTTATCCCCCAGGTGAATTAAGTATCTCTGAACGATTTTATCTGTGAATTAGAGACATGTCTTTGTAGAAATCAATAACTTAGAGGTTTTACTGTTACCTTCAGAGCGCGATCACCCAATTTTTTTTTTTACAAGGACCGATCTTCGACATCTTAAATGTGAAAAAAATTTAAATCCCCCCTTTTGGACGATTTTTATTTAATGATATACAGTAAGTGATCCTTGAATATTGCAACGACGAAGGGCAAGACCTTGACTCGTATCAGTAACCACATTTTTGCCAAAGAAAAGAAGAGAAATCTTTTTAAAGGAACGAATGTAATAAAATGCACCATTATTTATCCCCGAGGGTTAAAATCAATTAATCAAAAACTGGATTTTTTTTATGGAAATGGACAGAATATTTAAATTACTTCACGTTTCTCACAGTAAAAAAATAGCAAGCATTAAAGCAGTCAGAAGTTTTAGACTTCAGGCATAATTTTGTCTAGAAACAAATGACTGTTGAAATGTAATTTGAAAACGTCTCCATTTCCACACTTTCAAGAATCAGTTTATAATAAATATCCCTTTTATAAATGACCGAAAAAATTTGACGATACGTTATGCTAGGGCCAGATTTCTAGTTGATGTGAATTTTGAGCATAATCCGATGATTACAGTTTATGTATAACAAGATATGATTATATTCTTTACTACCAGACCATTCAAAGTGTCACGAGGTATATAACTAATGTCACTGCATTATTAGCTTCGCCTTAGGTTGGAAGCTTTTTTTTCTAAACTCTCTTAATTTTTATCACAGGTACTCGACATCTCGGCCTAAAAAGACCGGAAACAGAATCTTAATACGCAGTCATACAGATACCGAACATTGTCAATCTTACTTTAAATTTCAAAATTTGATCAAACAAACACGACCCACTTGATATGGATATCGTGGACAGTACTGCCATCTGATATTGCCATATTGCCATTAGTGGGCTCTGCTACCCCTATCTTAGAGCCCATTGTATCACAGCATTACATCCCTTTGTGGGGCAATGTTTATTCAAGATTTCTCAAAATGGAAGAGGGTAACATTTTATAGGTCCGAGATTCATTAAAATTTTAATAAGTCAGTTAACATAACAAGGACCAGCGATAGGCTATCTCCCTGAGCCGTTCTCTTTGTGTGGGTAAACCTTGTTGCCATTATATAGGAACCAGTCCTAAGGGCCAAACTGTAAGAAAAAAAGGATAACTAGAAGTTCAATGGTCTTAAATAATTCAATATCAACAAATGTTACTGATTTACAACAGTAATACAATTCATGTCTTAATAAAATTAAGGTTCTTAAGCCTTTGGACATTAAGTGTAAAATTCCAAAGCCTAGCGAGTGAAAAGGGTTGAAAAACTTCATAATTCAAAAAAACAAGATAGAAGCTCACTTCAGTATAGATATCATTGTCATTAAGAATCTCCTATTAAATAAACAAGTCTTCTTAAAGTCAGATACTGAATTAATAGGGATAAACTACTTTTAAAGTGTCTTTATATATGTGTAAGTCACCTTGAATAAAAATAACCTCCTGTCTACTACCCTCCCCCAAATAAAACTGACTTGGGTTGGTTATCAGCATTCATCTCACATGTAGTTAAGAAATCACATACATGTACATGTAAAAGTTCTTAGAATTAATGGTACATTAACATATAGACGAAGAGAGAACAAAGCATATGGTTTGTCATATTGTATTTTATTGCACAATTCTTGAAATTGTTGTCTATTTTCTTAATCAAAGTTTAAGTACTGTAACACACCTTTTTCTTTTTTAATATCATTTTTCATATTCTAAAGGTATTCCAGTTATGAGAATTAATTCCCAGCACATCTTGGTAAACCTTAAGCACACATTTTCAACATGGTTTGTAGAAAGGAAAATACCCAGAGGGAACGACCTGATGTGAATTGTGATGAGAACGCTACTTTATAAGAGACAGACCCTTACAACGTTCATGCATGAGAAACGCATTAATTTAATACAAAAAAAGACTGCTTTGAGAGACAAGTTTTACCTGGGAAATTCCTATAAATCCAAAACTCTCATTTTTTCGGGTCCCTCTAAAAGAATTAATTGCATCTTGTTTAAAAAAAATTGAAAATGTCACTTGCTATTAAATCAAAATGAAAAGGTATTTGTAAATAAAATTGAGTAATACTATAAAGAATGATAAAATAAATTGCTCTATTTCTGAACAATAGAAATCTCTTTATAAAGGTTTGTCATTATGCAGTGGGGAGCAATGAGTCATATAAGACTTCTTTAATTAAAATGTTTACAAGGACATAATCATACCTAGACGAGGAGAACTCGGGGCGGGTAATGGTTATATGTACACCACAAAACATTTAATATCAGGTGTCACAAAATTAATAAATATTCATATTTCACAATCAAAAATCCATCAAATTGAGAATAGCAAATGTCTGCAAACAAGAGTTTTTTGTGAAATTAAACAAAAAGTTTAGGTGAAAAACCACAGACATCTTTTTGATGCATTTATTGTTTTCGATGTGTTAAATAATTCATATTTTTTAGCATGTTGATATCAATCAAAACAAAAGGTTGTGATATAATTCACCTGAAAATTACTTCCTGTTTCCAAACAAAACAAGGAATTCATTTCATTTCAAAAGATACATAATTTATTCTGCAAAAGATAAAAATATGTTATCTAAATTTAAAATCACTTCAAAGGTTTCCATTTTAAGTTGCAAAATTGAAATGCATTGTAAAATGTTCACATTTGATGACTCAATTGAGTATTTTTACACCTTTAAGAGCGAGTCTACGAGAAAATCATGCAAAATGAAAAATTTGTTATACAAGTCACATTTAAAATAGACGATTTTAAATACATAATTTTTAAGAGAATGGACCTATATAACTATTCTGAAATTTTTTTTAACAAAGGTGTCCTCCTAATCGAGATATCCCCGAATCTATTTATAGCCCATTGGTGGGCTGGATTTGCAAGGAAAAACAGCACTTTTATAAGCCCTCCTAAAATATAAAATAAAACAACGATTTTGAAAATTTTTGTGTTCTATGTTGAATTGATAAGTATAACTTTTTGTTTTAAGTTGAATTTTGCTTCCCAAGTCTTATTCATGTGGGAAATTCAAAAGGTTTTATAAAAGAAAATCTACTTGACCTTTTATATGTCTATGAGAAACGCAGTGTTGTGTCTGATACAACGGATGAACTTTTGTTTATAATTATCTATCTGATTTAATGTGTTATTTTACACACTATTTTTCAAGGAATTTCTTGGATTTACAAGGAATATCAAGAAATAAACCTTTGAATCTCTTTATTTTTTTCCGGAATTATCGATCTTTTCGAACTCTTCAGTGCATGAAGAGTAAGAAAGTCATTATTTACATGGAGGGAAAATGGCAGCGATGTCGTCGGGTGTGTGTGATTTTGGTAAAGATTGCGAAGAAACAGCGATTTATCTTTTGAAAGACTGTGTCAAACCAACATTTCATCACCTCAGATATTTAAATTCTAACTGTAACGGTATAGATCTGCCTGAAAGTTATTTGATACTATCCAGAGCGGGTGTCAATGTGATAACGCTAGCAAACCTAAGCAAGAAAATTTGCCAAAGACACAGAGACACACTTGGCCTGTACTGGAGACGTAGCAAGAGATCATGTGTACACCCCTTTCACGGTTCATCTAAAACAAAACCAGACAGAGGCATCACACCAGTTTTGAGCCGGGAACTTTGGTTGCGCCAACAGTTGTCAGTTCCGATAGGTGAAGGTAATAAGAAATTTGTCCAAGCTGACAAAGTTATGAATTAATATCTTTGAATTATTATACGTAAGCTTATAGTTTTTCCTGAACAAGTATTGAATATATATGAGATCTAAACTTGCTACTTATGTAGTTAAAAGTTTATGGCAACAAAATAACTTGACCAGGTCCAGCACAATCTCTTGATTAAGCTATATAGCTTGATTTAGCTAAATAGCTTTATTAAGCTATTCAGAATAGCTTGATTAAGCTATTTTCTCAGACTTTTTTCTCAAATGTTTTATTTTTTCAACATGTGCAAAAAGTCGCACCATGGTGCAGTGGAAATATTAAACTTTGTACTTTTTTAAATACAATGCATGTTAAAATTACTCACCAAATTGCGTCTCCTTGAGAGACTTTGAACTCAAAGTTTTAAAAGTTTTGGGGCTATTGATGAGTGACAACACAGTTATTTCTTGAATGAAATTATAAAGGAGGCCTGTTATGGCCAACAGGATAATTGATTAGTAACAGTTCAGCACAATGAGAAGCAATCATACTTACCCACGCCTCACCGAACACACAGTTACTCAAACAATAGAAATTCATATTTGCTTAAAAGTATTCAACAGCAGCAATGTTAGAACTTTCTATGATTTAGGTAGTATTTTTGATAGTCCATAGTACATATATGAAGAGTCAAATATTTGCGACTTTTTGTTTATTTCTTTCAAAAAACGTTTTTGTGAAATATTGCATGTAAATAGCTTTATCAAGCTATTTTGAATAGCTTTATAAAGCTATATAGCTTTTTAAAGCTATATAGCTTAATTAAGAGATTGTGCCGGACCTGTTGACAACAGGTTTAGCTGCAGATCTGTAGGAGTGTGTCAGCTCTCCGAAAAAAATACAAAATGACATCCCTGAGAACTATAGTGCCGCCCATTGAAAAAACAAAAACAAAAATTTATTGCATACAAAAAGTTGCACTAACTTCTAGATTAATTCTTTAAAATTCTTACCCCAGTTGCAAAAAACTAGATTTCAAAAATAATCTTATTCCTATACCAACTACTTTTGTATTTTACATATGTACAAAGCATGTTAGACTAAATTATCTTGCAAATCAAAATGGCAGCATAAATAAGAATAATTTTTGTTGATCTAAATTTCAGGGTCAAAAGACCTATGAAAAACATTAATGTTTTGAAATGGGAAAAGTGAAAAAATATTAGGAACACATGGATACACACATTTTTGTGTTCAATAAATATACATTTTTTTCAATGGGTGGCAATGTAACTCTCCAGCCTGTCTACATATTTTTTTTTGAGAGCTACAGTTCTGCAGCTACAACAGGTTGGGAAAACTCGCCCAAATGGTTTATAGTAGTCCGTTTAAAACATGATATCCTAATGGCCGGGATATAAAATGTACAGTGCAAAAAATGAAATTTTGCAAAAAAAAAAATATTAAAGTACATGGTAATAAAAAATGTTCATTTTTTACAATGTAAATTTATATTCCAGTCAGGATGTTATATCCCAAACAGACTTTTATATCCCATTTGGGCACATGGTTCAAATTTGCAACAACAGAAACACAAAATAAGATGTTTTACTGAAGAACATAGATTAGTAGGCTTATATTATTCCACATATATTGTCACTTGTTTCATAGTTTAATTGACCCCTGACCCCAGGACAGAAAAGTAGGTGTGAGAGCCCTGTTACAAATGTTTATAATGCAAGCACCACTTAATTAAGGTACTCTAATAGTAAAGTAAAACAATATTCGGTCAATGCCAAAATAAGCATTTTGCATGTGTTCATAGAATTTATTCCTAAATTTAAAAACCGTTGAAACATCAAATATATTGCAGTGTTATAGCATGTGGCAATTTAGTTAGTACCGAAAATATGTGCTGAGATCAGTTGAATAAAGCTTTTTGGAGGTACATGTAATATGTAAAATTGTGTTGCAGGATGAAAAAAAAAAATAAATGGATACTACCTTGATATATTATACAATATTTTGGCTCAGATTGAAATGTAAATATAAATCAGGCCATTTTTAGTCATACAGTGGGAAGAGCTGGGGCATCCAAACAATTTTTTTTTAATTGCCTTACCATGTGTGTTTTTATTTGATTCATATTGATTTTTAAAATTTGAAATGTCACTGACGTCGGCCAAGTCTTAGTAAATTATGATTTTGAAGTACATGTAAGGTCAATACAGCCATGTTTGAGGTCAGATTAATACTTAGTCTAGATATTTTGCACCAAAAGCACATACTGAGCCAAGGCTTAAAAAAAATTTACACCTACGACTTTACCACTGATTACAGTGAGACTAAAATATATTTTACAACTGAGACCAAAATATTTTTTTTTGTTGTAAATTATTGTGTATATTTAAATTCTAAAAGATATAGGCAAGATGTTAGATACATTTACATTTTCTGATCATAATCAAGATCTTTTGTAATAGGACCCAAGTATGTTCATCAGTCATAAATGTAGTAGGTCTTAACAGTTAGCTAAAAACTAGCAAAAGTAAAGTTTTCATTAAAAAAAAAACAGAAAGGAGACAATATTAATGATTCTTTTTAAATGTCATTTTTTTAGCTGTATGCAGAACATGTGTATCTAAACACAAGGAAGATCTCAGTCTTGGTGAACAAGTTGTGGAAGAAATAAAAGGTAATTACTTTTATCCAATATAATTGTAAAAATTTCCTGTTCTTAACATAACATTAGTACGACGGCGTATTCGTGCCATTTTACCAATGTAGAATTTTTTTTATTAAATCGTTTGTACGATTTAGTAAATCGTTTGTACAATTTAGTAAATCGTTTGTACGATTAAGTAAATCCTTTGTTCGATTTGGTAAATCGTTTGTACGATTTAATAAATCGTTTGTACGATTTGGTAAATCGTTTGTACGATTTAGTAAATCGTTTGTACAATTTAATAAATCGTTTGTACAATTTAATAAATTGTTTGTACGATTTACTAAATTAAATTGTACAAACGATTTACTAAATCGTACAAACGATTTACTAAATCGAACAAACGATTTACTAAATCGTACAAACGATTTACTAAATCGTACAAACGATTTATTAAATCGTACAAACGATTTACTAAATCGTACAAACGATTTACTAAATGTTGTACGATTAGGTAAATCGTACAATCGATTTACTAAATCGTACAAACGATTTATTAAATTGTACAAACGATTTACTAAATCGTAAAAACGATTTACTAAATTGTACAAACGATTTGCTAAATCGTACAAACGATTTGCTTAATCGTTCAAACGATTTGCTAAATCGTACAAACGATTTACTAAATCGTACAAACGATTTATTAAATCGTACAAACGATTTACTAAATCGTACAAACGATTTGCTTAATCGTACAAACGATTTACTAAATCGTACAAACGATTTACTAAATCGTACAAACAATTTATTAAATCGTACAAACGATTTACTAAATCGTACAAACGATTTACTAAATTGTACAAAGGATGAAAAAAAATAAAATCTACATTGTTAAAATGGCACTAATACGCCGTCGTACATTAGGGATGAATCCACATTTTTTTGCTTATTTGAGCCGAAGACTCAAGTGAGCTCTTCTAATCAAAATTTGTCCGTTGTCTATTGCCTTTGTTGTCTATCGCCTTTGTTGTCGTTGTCATCACAAAATTTTCACATTTTTATCTTCTTCTCAAGATCCACGGGGCCTCTTTCATCCAAACTTGCCACTAAGTAATTTTAGGTTAAGGGAATTCAAGTTTGTTCAAATGAAGGACCACGCCCTCTTCCAAGGGGAGATAATTATGATTTAGTGAAAAATTAAGGGCGTCTTTTAGATATCTCCTCAAGAATCACGGGTCCAGGAAAGATGAAACTCATGTGGAATTATCCTTAGATAGTGTAGATTCACGTTTTTTTTCAAATCAGGACCCAAGGGTAGTGCAGGGCCACAACAGCTGATCTGAGTTTTACATGGAAATATTTAGGAAAAAATTTAAAAAAAATTTAAAAATTTTCTTCTCAAGAACCAGGAAAGTTGAAACTTATGTGGAAGCATCCTGGGGAAGTGTAGATTTTAAATTGTTCAAATCATGACCCCTAGGGGTAGGAGGAGGTCACAATAGGGAATAAATCCAAGAATTACACAGACATAGAAATATATAAGAAAAAATATTTAAAATCTTTCTCTCAGGAACCAGTGGGCCAGGAAAGCTGAGAAACTTAAGCAAAGCATACTGAGGTAGTGTAGATTCAAAATTATTAAAATCAAGACGGTTGGAGGGGGGGGGGGTAGATGTGCAATCTGGTAAATAACTGCATCACCAAAGCTACTCAGTTGAGTGATGTGGCCCATGAGCCTTTTTTTCTGTTGTTCTTCTTGTTCGTTTGAGTTGGGGTTGTGTGTACTGTAGATTGACCAGATTATGCATGCCAAACAAGACAAGTATCGATATTGGATTTGTCCCTTATGTATACAAGTCCATGTTTGCCCTGCTCCTGATATGTATTTTTTGAAGGGACTTTTGAGCTTGAATACTGTTTGTTATTTCCATATATTTTCTCTTTATTTAGACAGAGTTCAGCAGCTGACCACATCAACTAATGCCTCATTACCTCCACCTAACTTTAGAGACCTCACTGAAGTCAACGGTATGATGTTTATAAATGGTTTCATTTTCAGACTGCGCAAAATCATTCATCAGAAAAAAATCTTATATATTTAAGTCACTTTAGTTTTTCTAGGTGACATTTTCTATTAAAATTTGTCTGTCATGTGTAGATTCTAAATTTTACAATTCATGAACCATGAGGGTAGGAGGGTTGCACAATATAAATTTTCAAAGAAGGGGGGGGGGGTATTTGGTAAAAAACTGTGACATGGCTAAAGTTACTGGCTAAAGGGTGAGTGATGTGGCCCATAGGCCTCTTGTTTTGTGATTACTAATAATTTTATGTAAACTCTAAGTACATCATAAGAAGAATTTTCTACAATTTCAGATGTTGACAACAATGCTTACCCCGCTGTAGAAACTGATGTAGTATCACACGTCTCTCAGACAAATGAGCCTGACCAAGGTGAGCAAGTACAAATAACTGTGCAGTAATTTTTTGCTCTCATTTATTTCACAATGAACATCGAATAAAATTTCTACAATTACTGATACTGTTTAAAGTTCCCTTATT